GCACATCCATTTACAGCAACTGTTTCTCTTAAAATACCTTCAGTAGATTGATAAAAAACCAATGCAACATGTTCAGAGATTTTCAATAGTAAATATTTTTGTCTAGATTTCTCCAATTAAGTACATCTGGAGGGTCACTGAGATTTGACAGCCAGTGCCTTATACCCAATGAGGATATGACAAAAATCAGTGATCTGGGCATTCACCTATTCTTTTCAAACATCACAATTCTCTTTGAATAAGAAGTAGAAGAAGGGCTGATCTGTATGTATGCCATATTCTATCTGGGTTCTAAAATTTTGATAAATCAGGAATATCCAATTTTTCTCCTAGGCCTACAAATGCTGACATTGAGTCCATCCATTTTTCAACTTGGATGGTCGACCTTCGTCAACGTGACCTAGGAAGAAAGGATGTCTAGCCTATGTTAAATTCTAGACATGAGTTACACGTTGTGTTCATTTCCCATGAATGAGGCAGTGAACATAGAACCTTTTTTTTTTTTGCTTGCATTTCCTCATCTATAAAATGAATATAATAGAACTAATATCCAAGTGTTATGAGGATTAAATCAGGTAATATGTGTAATATGTAGCCTTAGATTGATGACTCATGCATGGGAAGCATTACATGTGTTGAAAAAATACAAATAAAACAAAGTTCATTCTCACAACAATGCTTTGTGACAGGTGTTTCCAAAAGCCCTTCTAGCAAAAATAGTTAAAAATCAGCTGATTCATTTGTTTTCTATCCTTAGATTTATAAACAGAGGATATCATCAAGCAATCTTCTTGAACGCTTGGTGGCAATTATTTGTACAGCCTGGCAGTCTCAACTTTATTTGTTTTGAATAAATAAATATAATTATATCCATTCTCAGGCCCCTAGGAAACATTTTCCCAGCACTAGGAGTGAAAAGATACACCACCATCTTTTTTTTTTTTTTTTTTGTAACTAAGTCAGTTTCACACTGACAAAGGAGAAGCTTAGCAGAACTGGAAAATGTCTTAAAATATTAATTATGTATTACTGAGTTTCATAAATTTTTTAATTTTCTGAAAGGCATTAATAACAAGAACTCATAATGACTCAAGGGAAACAATGACACATTTGCATTTTATTAGTTAAAATAAATGCAATAATACTTCAGTTATCTGCTTGTCACTGGATACAGGCCATTTAATGTGTGTACATTTTCCCAACACCTAAACCTTGGTCTTTTGATTGTAAAAACTTTGATCATTTTAACTTATAAAAATATGATAAAAATATATAACCACTCACTTTCTCTTATTCAGACCATATTAAAATACAAAAAAAAATGCTTAACATCATGTTAGGTTTTTTGTATGGGAAGCAAGAATCAACATTTACTTTACTAAATAGTATTACATTGACATGTTCAGATATTTTGAGGCATGGAAGAACCTTTTTCTCTTTCACTGAATGACCTCACAATTGCTGTGTTGGAATTTTATATTTTTTATTAGCTCACAGAGCACTGTGGGGCTGTTGGGTTTCGCTTGTGAGGTACCAGTTACTGAAAATGATTAGAACTAGTTTTTGGGGATTGAGAAAAAGACAAAGTAGATCCAGCAGGCATTTTTTTTTAATACGTTTCTTTTCTTTTTTTTAAATTTTTTAGTGTTATGTTAATCACCATACATCATTAGTTTTTGATGTTCCATGATTCATTGCTTGCGTATAACACCCAGGCCTCCATGCAGAACATGCCCTCTTTAATACCCATCACCAGGCTAACCCATCCTCCCACCCCCTCCCCTCTAGAACCCTCAGTTTGTTTTTCAGAGTCCATCGTCTCTCATGGTTTGTCTCCCCCTCCGATTTCCCCCCTTCATTCTTCCCCTCCTGCTATCTTCTTCTTCTTCTTCTTCTTTTTTTTAACGTAAAATGTATTATTTGCTTTAGAGGTACGGGTCTGTGATTCAACAGTCTTGCACAATTCCCAGTGCTCACCATAGCACATACCCTCCCCCGTGTCCATCACCCAGCCCCCCATCCCTCCCACCCCCCCACCACTCCAGCAACCCTCACTTTGCTTCCTGAGATTAAGAATTCCTCCTATCAGTGAGGTCATATGATACATGTCTTTCTCTGATTGACTTATTTCGCTCAGCATAACACCCTCCAGTTCCATCCACGTCGTTGCAAATGGCAAGATCTCATTCCTTTTGATGGCTGCGTAATATTCCATTGTATATATATACCACTTCTTTATCCATTCATCTGTCGATGGACATCTTGGCTCCTTCCACAGTTTGGCTATTGTGGACATTGCTGCTATAAACATCGGGGTGCACGTACCCCTTTGGATCCCTACCTTTGTATCTTTAGGGTAAATACCCAGTAGTGCAGTTGTCCAACAGGCATTATAAAGTTTTATACTTATAACCATCTACTCAAGAATAAGAGCAGGTGTTGCTAGTGATTAAAAGGAAGGGAGAGGGGGTCAGTAGGAGGAAGAGTGCCAGAGAGCATCCGGGAACTTTTCTTTCCCACCTGAGACTGGTGTAAGATGGAGGCTGAGCCTGCCCGAGAGCTGGGAGGGCTAATGGATACAATGAAGTGTTCTGGAAAGACTGAGCCAGAGGACATAGACTCGGTTCCAGAGAACACATTCTGGGTGCTGGTGGGTGCACACACGGAGGGCCTTCTCCGGTGACACCACCCAGGTTAGGAAAATGACCCAGCCTTCTCCCTCCCTCTGGAGGAGGATCCAAACCAGTGAAAACATTTTTGATGTTTTCACCAAAAATAATAGACTTGCTTGGGAAATTCAAATTTTCCCAACCAGTCTGATATGGCTGCTCACTAAAGTTATTATTGATCGGGCTGAATTTTAGAAGTTGAAGGCAGTGATGCCTTTGAGCTAGAGAAGAAACAAAAACAACAGAGGAATGGCAAAGGGCTCTAAGTAGTCTAAGAAAAATTCTGGGCAACTAATCTTGTTGCGTTCCACTCGTGACGTTTAGTTAGCAAGGCCAACCTGGTAAGGCTTGATTGTTGCTCTGGGATGCTTGGCCATGTATTTCTTCTTGTCTCTCATACTTGTCCTTGGCTTTTCCCAGGCCTCAGAACCGATCCTCCTATGCCAGGAGCCCACAGACATTACTGGTGTCCTCCAAATTGTCTTGCACTGCAAGTAATGATTTCAGGCATGTTTTTGGGAGACATACAAATATAAGGGGGGTTGATTTTGACATTCATTTTTATTGTTTTGGTATTGTGATTATTATTATGGTTTTTCCTTGTATATGGTCTAATAACTTCCCAAAGCACCCCCACAGTGTTAATTTCTTAGCATGCGGCAACCGCTTGGGGGTAGAATCAGCCACCAGTCTTCTCCTCAACCCCCCCAGAGAAGGAGGCAGGGTAGTTTCATAAGAGGAGATTTTGCTAAATCTATTCCAGGCATCCGCTTCTGTGACCATATCAGAGCTTCACGACAAAGAAACTTTGCCAGATATTGAAATCCAATTAACTGTTATAATAATGCTAATAGCTAACATGTGCTGAGCATTTATATGGTAGCAGGCATTGCTCTGAGCATTAGATGTGCATTAATTTATTGAGTTCTCCAACAACTCTGAGGTGCTAGTGTGACCTGGTCCCAGAAGAGGAACAGAGGCTCAGAGCAAGCAAGCGGCTTGCTTGGGGTCACAGAGCAAGCACGGGCAGAGCCCTGGGCCTGCCCTCTTGCTCTTCATCATGTCTGTTAGGAGGTGACTTGTGTCTCAAAATTCAACTAGTCCAAAACAGAGGCAAGAACCCAACTGTATGCTCAAATTGCCTCGGGTGAGAGGAGAGGTGGTCCAGAGAGTATATTAAACTTCATGCACTTTATTCCATGTCCATAGGATCTTCCTCAAGTGGAAGCTTGTACTTTGCTGGAGTGGAGGATGCAAGACAAGGTGGATTGCAGGATTGCCCTGCAAAGGCAGGGATTCTGTATGGAAATGACATGTATGTGAAAGAAGCCACTCTTAAAGACCACATATTGCACGATTCCATTTATAGGAAATGTCCAGAATAGGCAATCCACGGAGACAGGAAGTACATTAGCAGTTGCCAGGGCCTTGGGGGAGGGGCAGATGGGGAAGCGGGAATGACTCCTGGAGGGTAGCAGTTTCTTTTGGGGGTGATGAAAATACTCTAACATTGACTGTGGTGATGGTTGCTCAACTCTGTAAATATACTAAAAGCCATTGAAACGTACACTTTAAATGGGTGAATTGTATGGTATGTGAGTTATATCTCAATAAAGTAGTTATTAATAATAAAAAAACTCACGGAATGTTGAGTCTGACCCCAACTATCTCCAGGCAGAGGCAGCTCGAGAAGACAGGGGCATGCACCTGCGGATTTCATAAAATTTGCTTATTAGGGGGGAGAAATGGCCGATTAATTAAACGTATATAAATAATTCATGTTGATCATAAAAAATTAAAAACACCCATAATCTTGACACTTAGACATAATCATTGTTAACATTTTTGGGTTTATCCTTGAGAATTTTTTCTATGCATTTATAAGGTACATGGAGACACCGGATCATGCTACCCCTATTGTAATTTGCTTTTCTCATTAAACAACACTGTGTCATGGAGGTTCTCCAAATGCGATGCCTGCCATTGGCATCAATATCATCTGGGGACCCTGAAATGTGAAATCTAGAGGCCCCGTGCAGGCTTCCTGAATGAGAAGCTCTGGGAGTGGGGCCATGAGTCTTGCTTTAGTGAGCCCTCCAGGCGATCCTGATACACAGTCAAGTGTGAAAACCATTGCCCTGCCTTAACTGTGTGTGCGTGTAAATACATGTGGATTTCTGTCATAATTTTTAACGATTGATATTCCAATTTTTGGCTACTGTAAGTAATGCTGCAAAGATCATCCTTGAGCTATCCTTGTGCACTTTATTTTTTTCCCACACAAAGCATAGGTCATTTATTATTATTATTATTATTATAATTTTTTGGCCCTCGACTAGTACATAGATGGCTTCTCTTCACTCTTTGGGTTGATAATTTTCTCTAGGTTGCTGCTGATGATATGATAAAGCTCAGCATAGGAGGCCCTCAGGTCCAGCACCATGGCCCTGAGCTCTCCATAGGCTGCCTCATCTTGCTCATGCATCAGGACCCCGTAATCCATTACATGAGTCCCCTTAGAGGCCTTGGCCACAGCATCCCCGCATTCAGAGATGTACTTGGAAATGGTTGTCTGGAAGCATCTACTTTTGTCTTGATTGCATTTACCCTCTCCAGCACCTTCTCCTGGATTGCCACCCCAAAGTCATTTCCATTCTCAATCTTGGGGATCAGGTGCTGGATCCGTGTGATCACCAGAACGCATTTTTCTTTGAGAGTCCAGACTTCTGGCTTAACCAGGGCAAGTAGGGTGAGAACCTTCTCATTTCCAGGGAGAAAGCCACACTTGGGAACTTCTTTCTTTTCCTGCTTATCTGTTTCCATCTCATCATCCTTGGGTGGAGGGTCTGGGATGGGGATGTCCAGTGGGGTCTGGAGAGAGGTCAGGTCAGCAACATTGAGGGAGTCCTTTTGCAAGAGTTGATTCAGGTGTATGATTTTCTGTGGCAAGAAACTGTAGAGGAATTCCTCTGCCTCCTGGAAAAGACTTTGCCTGAAGACATCCACCTGCTTGTGGGCTTCCCCGCTCAGGTACACCCCACAAGGCTTGGCCATGTTGCTCCAGTTGCAAGATCTCCGGTCTCTCCTTGCACACTTTAATTATTTCCTCTGATACATTCCCAGAAGTGTACGCACTGGGTCAAAGTCTAAGGCTTTAGATATTTATTTTCAAATTGCCCTCAAAAAAACCTTCTTAATTTACATCCCTACTTCCAAATAAGAGAATGTGTATATTTTTGACAATTCTGGCCATTCTTTTTTTAAATTCATCATAATACAAGAAGTAAAAAGGTAGGCCATTGGGTTTTAGTTTATATTTCTTTGATTACTGGTAATACTGAACCTTTGTATGTGATTATTGACTATATTTCTTCATTTGTGAATATCTTGCTTAAGCCTATTGCCCAAATTTCTATGGAATTTTTCATATATATATGTATATGTGTATATACATATATGTATACATATATATATATATATATATATTTCTGGTAGAATTTAATACATTGTCAAGTAGTAAGAATACTAACCCCTGAATATCACATATGTTGAAAATACATTTTCTGGTTTACTTGCCTTTTAACTTTCCTAGTTGTTTTTTTTTTTTTCTGTTTAGAATGAGCTTAAAATTTTAATATAAAATTTTATTTTGGTGACATTCTTTGAAAGGATTTCCCATCTGGTTTTATATAAATATTTATGTATTTTTTCTTAGTACTTTTACATTAAATTGTTTAATACGTATGGAATTTATGTTCCTGTAAATTGTCTTTTGTTTCCAAATGGTTGTCCCTAGATTCTTTATTGACTAGTCCTAATTTTCCTGCTTGATCTGAAATTCTAACCTTATTATATATACATTTTTTTAATGGCTTGGGTCTGCTTTTGAATTTCTTGGTCTATTTAATTAATCTGTTTCTATTGGAGTCAGTTTTGATTATCAGAATTCTAATACATTTTAATAATTGGAAGGACAAATACTCTCTCTTCATTTTTTTTTCTTCCCCCAGACTTTTTTCCTGGTTATTCTCACATATCATATAGTGTTCAAATACACTTTAGTCAAGTTTGAAAAGAAGTATTAGAATTTTGATTTGAATTACATTAAATTCATAGCGTGATTTGTCAGTGTCAATATCTTTAAATAGAACGTCTATCATGGAACATGTTATGTTTCCCACAATTATTCAGATATCCTTTTGTCTTTTGTTTGTTTAAAGATTTATTTATTTATTTATTTAAACTCTACACCCCAAGTGGGGCTTGAACTCACAATCTCAAGATCAAGTCACACGCTTCACTGACTGAACCAGCCAGGCGCCCCAGATATCCTTTTGTCTTCCTGAGTAGAGTATATAAGTTCTTTTCATATAGATTATAGTCATTTTATGGGAAGTTCATTTCTTTTATTATTTATTTATTTATTTTTTAAAAGATTTTATTTATTTGAGAGAGAGAGAATGAGAGACAGATAGCAAGAGAGGGAAGAGGGTCAGAGGGAGAAGCAGACCCCCCCGCTGAGCAGGGAGCCCGATGTGGGACTCGATCCCGGGACTCCAGGGTCATGACCTGAGCCGAAGGCAGTCACTTAACCAACTGAGCCACCCAGGCGCCTGGGAAGTTCATTTCTAAGCATTATATATTTACGACTGCTATGCAGCGCATATTTTCTAAGTGGTTATGGACACATTATTGATTTCTGTAAACTAATTTTATAACCATCCACCTCATTGAAGCCTCTTATCAGTTCTAAGATTTTCTCATGGGTTTTCCAAGTAGGACAGCAATGATGATTTTTTTCTCTGCAGTCTCCAGCCTTTATTCCTGCTGTTTCGTACTTTTTTCTATTGTATTAGCTGGTGCTTCCAGAACAATGTTAAACAGTCATTACAAGTAGGCATCTTTGATCTCTTCCTACCTATTCATGGCAATGTCTTCCATTTTACAGTTAATCATGATGCTGGCTGTTAGTTTAAAAAAGCATATTTTATATATCTGCACATGTATACATACACATACACATATATACACATCCATCCATCCATCACATCTGTTAGTAGCCTACATTCTTGGTTTACTAAGACTTTTTTTTATTTTATTATATTTTAAAGATTTTATTTAATTTGTCAGAGAGAGAGAGGGAAAGAGCAAACCAGGGAGAGTGGCAGGCAGAGGGAGAAGCAGACTCCCCACTGAGCAGGGAGCCTGATGGGGGCTCCATCCCAGGATCCTGGGATCATGACCTGAGCTGAAGGCAGACCCTTAACCGACTGAGCTACCCAGGCGTCCCTAAGGTTTTTTTTTTAAAACATACACATTACATTTTATCAAATGTCCTTTCAGGATCTCTCAAGATGATAATGTATTTTTCTTTCATGGCCTTATTTCACAATTATTGTCAAATCAACATTAATTGAGCATCTACTATGTTACCATTTTACTAAAAACAAAAACAAAACCAAAAAAACATAGACACAGAGACACATCAGAAAAGCTAAGTTGTTTGGTTCCCCAGATCTGAGCAGATAGGAGCTGCCAAAGAGAAAGAAGTGATGGCTGGGGAGACTCGGGTGTGGTCATGTAGCCATGGTCAGGAAACGCCAAAGGTTCCACCCAGACCCTGTATCTCGGCTGTTCACATCCTGGTTCCTCATTGAGATCTCTTCAAGGATCTCTTAAAACAAAACAAAACAACAAAACAAAACAAAACAAAACAAAACAAAGCTTGAGCCTACTAAAACTGTGTGTGTGTGTTTGTGTGTTGGGGGGCAGGGGGTGTAAATCAGGCATCTGGTTTGATAGCCAGAGTGGCTAAAATGATGGTGCAATTGAACGGACGATGTCCTCAGCGTCCCTGCAGGGTGTGCTGTTAGCTAGTTATTTTACCAAATTGGGGCGGCTCAAGGTTGCTCAGGGATATTACTATTATTATCGTTGCTATAATTATGAGGTTGATCCATATGAAACTACCATTTTTATCGGCAAAGCATGGTCAACTATATGATCTGACCTAACGTAATTAATAATGACCATTTATTATCTATTATATATCAGCAATTGTATCTGTATTTTCTACAGGCCATTTCGTTTTGTTTCTATAACAGCTCCGTGAGGTAGGGGCTATCATCCCAATCTACAGATGAGAAAACAAGCTCAGAGAAGTTAAGAAAGTCCTTTAAAGTCACACAGCGAGTAAGTGGTAGAGCCAGGAGACAGATTCAGGTCAGTCTGACCCCAAATCTCTCTCTTTTTCTTTGACAACAGGACTGTCTTAGGTCTGCTTCATTTACTGGTTCTCCCTGGCGGCACACTGGCCCAGAGGGGGAGTAAAGTCTGCTCATTCCAGTCCCTGACAGGAGAGGGGTGTGTGCACTGTGGAAATTTGATAGCTTCCGTCCTGTGGAGCAGGGGCTTTCCAAATGTGGTCTGCAGACCCACAGCATCACCTGGGAACTTGTTAGAAACGCCAATTCTCACCCCACCCCAGACCTCCCGAATTAGAAACTCCAGTGGATGGGGCCAGCGATCTGTTTTAAGAAGCCCTCTGGGTGATTGTGATGCGAGCTAACGTTTGAGAACCCTGCCCTGGGTAACCGTAATGACTGCTAACTGGTACTGAGAACTCACTCTGCACCAGATCTGAACCCGTCTGGGCGTCCTTACAAGGTAGGGGTTTATGATCAGCATAATTCCTACTTCTGCAGAGGGTGAATGGATTGCCTGAGGCTCTGCAGGGAGCAGATGGTTGAGTCTGGGTTCGAACCTGGCCCTTCAGAAAGAGCTGATGGCCTTTACCACTGTGTTCAGCCACCTTCTGCTCATCACGTGAAGCCCGCGGTGCCTCATTCTCTGCGGAGTGTCTTCAGCAAAAGGTGGATGGAGAAGAGATGGTGCTGATGATGTAGGACCAGGGCTTTGGAGGAGCTCGTCTGTCATGGGCATCCTTCGGATGGGGAAGAAAGGGAGCCATGGTTGTGGCATACAAATTTCCATTGAGGATCCTGGGGCATTACAGATAAGGTGTCCTTGTTTTCCTTCCCACAGGTCAGATGCCTTTATTCAGTTCCTTTGCAGCAACTGCACTTCATCTGCAGAATGCCCAGTGCGAGTCGGGGGCTTTGTAGGTTGAGGGTCTTACTGGGGATTATCGTAAGGCAAGAATACTGGTGATATTGTTTGCAGAGCCAAGGAGGAAAATCAGACCCGGGTGGAGGATTTATTTTTCCTCCATAAAGCTGACAGGGGGCTCTTCGAAAGTTCACTGACTGTGGCGCTAAGTCTCTCCGTTTGGAAACACTCCTGGATGGATGGACAGATTCCCAGCTAATACTGTGCACACCCCTCTATCACCCAGCATCCAATTCCCAGCAAATTTTGCAATATAGTGACAGTAATGGAAAGCAAAATGATCTCTAAATAATGGTTTAAGATGGCTACTTGATAAAGGGCACTGCAATAATTATGATCAATGGAGCATGGATTCAATATATATTGCCCATTTAGATGCACCAGATTAGCTTAACAGCTTTCTTTAATGTTCTGAGTATTTTGTGTGTGCGCTCGTCTGTGTGTGTGAGTGTGTGTGTGTGTATGTGTGAGAGAGGGAAGAAGGAGAGAGAGAAGAGAGAAGGGAGGGAGGGAGGGTGAGGCAGCCTGCAAGCTGCTATGAGCATTACTTGGCTTCCTATTGATCAATGTGGTTGCGGTGACACAGCGCTGAGCAAAGGAAATTGAGATTCAGAAGTTGTGTGATCCATTACCAAGAGCAAGCACTCAGGTGTCATGTGTTTCAGACAGGGCCTTTGTGGAGGGCGGTGGAAGCAGGGAACGGGGTGGAGGAGAGACACCTGATATGAGTTTAGTCATTTTGCAGAGGGCACTTTCTGGATGACGATTTGGTGTAATCACGGAAATTAGGCATGCAGGCAGCCAGCCAAGAGAATCCCTCAACATCCCAGAGCACCAGCGCCATCAGCTAAGTGAGCTGGACAGGACTTGTTTTAGAAAGCTGGGCTAGCCGTGGAAATGTGATTTACCAGGAGGAGGGAAATGATTTAC